AATGTTTGCAGCCTTGCAGATTCAGAGGTGCCCATGAATGTCCGCCATGCCATGCAATCACCTAAGTGGAAGGCTGCAATGGATGAAGAATTCACTGCCCTTCAACGCAATGGAACATGGACTCTTGTTCCTCGGACGGCACACAAACCCATTCATTGCAAATGGATTTTCCGGGTTAAACGGAAGCGTGATGGCTCTATTGATCGCTATAAAGCCCGTCTTGTAGCAAAAGGCTTTCTTCAGCGACTGGGGAGAGATTACTGTGAAACGTTCAGTCCGGTAACAAAGTCGATCACTATTCGTGTCATTCTCATTGTTGCTCTTTCTCGTGGGTGGCTCTTATGCCAGTTGGATGTCAACAATGCTTTTCTGAATGGTACTTTGCATGAGGATGTTTATATGGAACAACCTTCTGGATATCGTGACAAAAACAATCCCACTCATGTTTGCAAACTGAAAAAGGCATTGTACGGGTTGAAACAGGCTCCTCGGGCATGGTATACTGAACTTACCATATTTCTTCAAAGTATGGGGTTCCGCAAGTCTGTTGCAGATGCTTTCTTGTTTATCTTTAATCATTCTTCGGTTATCCTATATTTTTTGGTCTATGTGGATGATATTATCATAACTGGTAATACTCCTGCGTTTATCGATGCCTTTGTCTCCAGGCTTTCTCGCAAGTTCTCACTTAAAGATTTAAGTCCTCTCCATCATTTTCTTTCTCAAAAGCAATATATTTCTGATATTCTTCAGAGCCACAACATGCTGGATGCCAAGCCTGTTGTTACCCCTATGAGTGCTACGTCGCCAATTTCTCTCAATGACGGCACCGCTCATGCAAATTCTACAGAGTACAGGCGCCTTATTGGGTCACTTCAGTATCTTGCTATTACTCGCCCGGATATTGCATTTGCAGTAAACAAACTTTCTCAGTATATGCATGCTCCTACTGTGACTCATTGGCAAGCTGCAAAGCATATCCTTCGCTATCTCAAGGGCACACTTCATCATGGTCTTTATTTACGAAGTAATGTTGCTCTTACTCTCACTGTTTTCTCGGATTCTGATTGGGGTGGTGTGCATGATGGTGGACGGTCCACAACTGCGTATGTTATCTATCTTGGCCCTAACATTGTTTCATGGAAGTCTACACGTCAAAAGACAGTGTCACGGTCTTCTACTAAAGCTGAGTACTGAGCTCTGGCCCATGCTACAGCCGAAACACTATGGATTCGACATCTTCTGACTGATCTTGGGTTATGTGTTTCAAAGCCTCCCATACTGTTTTGTGATAATTTAGGTGCAACTTATGTTTGCAAAAATCCCGTCTTTCACTCTCGAATGAAGCACTTAGCATTTGATTATTTTTTTGTTCGTGAACTCGTTGCATCAGGACAGCTCCATGTTCGTCATATTTCCTCTGGCGATCAAACCGCAGATCTTCTCACCAAACTGCTATCATCCACTACTTTCTTGTGGCTTTGCTCCAAGCTTGGTGCTTCTGACAGCACCCCAATCTTGCGGGGGCGTATCAATACTAATATTAATTATTATCATTAATTATATTAGTATTATTCGAATAGCTTTGCTCCACCTTTCTCTATTCCTACACTAATCGTTTCTTTGGTTTCTCATTTATGTTATCCCTGTAATTATCATGTGAAGTCTCTTCACAGTGTATCTTCTCTACTATTTAATGTGGCTTGTGATCAATGACAATAATCAAGTCAGGTTATACGTTCATATCAGTTCCTATACAGACAGCGGCAGCAAGCTCCCTTTTCCGGCGAGCCGTGGACGACAGCGGCGGCCCTCCGACGAGCTCCCACTTCCTCTGGCGAGCCACGGACGGCAGCGGCGACTCTCCGAAGAGCTCCCACTTCCTCCGGCAAGCCCTCTAGCGTGCCTCACCTCCGGCGGGATCCAGCGGCGAGCCATACCACTAGCAGTGGTCCACTCCGGCGAACCTTGGCCCGGCAGCAGCGAACTCCCTCATCCGGCAAACCACGGACGGTGGTGGCAAGCCTCTCTCCGGCGGTCCTCTCCGTGGTTCTCTCCGGCGGTCCTCTCCACGGTCCTCTCCGGCGGTCCTCTCTGGCGGTCCTCTCCGCGGTCATCTCCGGCGAACCTCTCCGCGGTCCTCTCCGGCGGCGGTCCTTTCCGCGGTCCTCTTCGGCGAGCCAGGGGCGGAGCTAGACCGTTCCAACTTCTAGGATCCATCCAGTGGACGATCTAGCCTCAAGAGGACTGCTCCAGCTTCATAGGTCCCTCAAATGGATGGCGCCGGCCCCAATTATTCTGTTTCGGGTTCATTGGTCCTTCAAATGGATGGATCTAGCCTCCAGTGGACCATTCTAATTTCTAAGATCCATTCGGGGGACGGATCTAGACTCAAGTAGTCTATTCCGAGTTGTACAAGTTGAGAAAAGTAATACTGTAAAAGAATAGAAAGCAGATGTCAGTAATTAGGTCAAGTTAGGTGATCGGATTACTGGAGATAGTCATAAACTCTCGTACCAAGATAGAGAAAAGATTTAGAGAGAAAGAGAAAGGTGGACAAGCTAAGGATTGTCTATTATTCAATAAGAGCGGAGCGCCCAACCACCGTGAGATAGATGTCAGGTGGGGGTTTAGAGGCTCCCAGAGAATATTGAAAAAAAATCCCCGAGAAAAGCTCTCTTCCCAGAGGCAACGAATCTCCGAGAAAAGTCCTCTTCCCCGAGGCACCAAGCCCTCTTCCTAGAGGCAACGAATCCCCGAGAAAAATCCTCTTCCAAGAGGCACCGAGCTCTGAGAAAAGTCCTCTTCCAAGAGGCACCAAGTCCTCTTCCCGAGGCACTAAAAAGAAAGAAAGGTCCTCTTCCAAAGAGGTACAAAGTCCCGAGAAAGTCCTCTTCCAAGAGGCACTACGCCCTGAGAAAGTCCTCTTCCAAGAGGCACTAAGCCCCAAGAAAATCCTCTTCCAAGAGGCTCAAATCCCTGAGAAAAGTCTTCTTCCAAGAAGCACAAATCCCTTAGAAAAGTCCTCTTCCCGAGGCACTGAGGAAAATTCTATCCCACGAGGTAACCCACTGAGTCGTATAGTTCTGAATCTGTCTCGTTCCTCGAGGCAGACTCAAAACTAGGGGCATGTGATGGATTAGGGATTTTACCTAATTCAATATTATTTGAACAGTATAAGAAAGCCCAATTTTATCTGGCCCAAGATATAAATGAGAAAAAAATATGGATAGAAGAATATATATTTGAAGTGATGTAAAAATATTCAGTGGAGCCCATATACAAAACATGTGCACATGGAGGTGACATGGCCACCTCATGGCATTGTTAGGGATGCATGCATGTACTCTCCTTTATAATGGGCATTTACACATCAAGGAGGGGGACGGGAGAGGGGGGCCAAGGCAAATTCCTACAACTTCCTATTATTCTTCATACTTCTTCCTCTCTAAGCTTGGAGCTCCATTAATGGCTCCAAGCTCCTACAATAATGTATACATAAATTCCTCGAGATTAATAAAAGTTCCTCTCCTTTGGCATGGCACCGCCTAAAAAGGCCCGTGGTTTTCTCCCATTTTGGGTTTCCACGTATAAATACTTTCTCTCCGCTTTATTTATTTATTTTCCGGATTTCGCTATTCTGTGCGGTGCCGACCCGGTACCGAGTGCGTCGGGTCGACGCCCCGAAAAAGCGGTTTCCATCATATATATATATATATATATATATATATATATATATATATATATATATATATATATATATATATATATATATATATATATGGGATTGACTCCAGTGAGATGACACCTTACGGTGCGATGATGCAAAGCTCACCACATTACACTGCAAAGCTCACCAATGGCCAATGTAAAGCTCACCTGAAATAAAGCAAAGCTTACCATTTTGAACACCAAAACTCACCTCTTTTTTAATTTTGAAAATTAAAAAATTAATAATAAATAAAATAGCAACACCGGTCAACCACCGGTCAGTGGCGGCGGCGGCGGCGTAGGGCGGCGGTGGTCGGCGGCAGCGGCGGCAGTGGTGGTCGGCGTGGTGGTGGCGGCGGTGGTCGGCAGCGCAGGGGTTCGCCGGTGATGGTCAACGGTCAACGGTCAAAGTCTAGTCAGCACCCCTTCCTTTAACTTTATTTTTTCAAAAAAAATTCAAAGTGTTGAAAAAAATATCGTGAGCTTTGCCTTACAGTTTGGTGAGCTTTGTAGTTGTGCTTGGTGAGCTTTGCAGTGGCTAGTGGTGAGCTTTACATCATCTGACCGTAACATGTCATCTCACCGTAAGGTGTCATCTGACTGGAGTCAATCCCTATATATATATATATATATATATATATATATATATATATATATATATATATATATATATAGTAAAATATTACATGACTATAAATTCAACAAATAATTAACGAAAATAAACAAAAAAAAACAAAAAGAAATTAACCTTATAGAGTGACTAGCATGAAACGCACTTTGTGCGTTTGGTGCCCAACATTGAAAGAAAATTACAAAAGTAAAATGTGTGACTTTATGGTGCCTTAAAATTGTTCTAGACTTTGATCTAAAAGACTTAATACTTCGTAAATTTTAAACTTTGCATCATGTAATTGGAGGTGCGAGTGGTGCCCTGAGGGGAAACGGTGAAACCTATGTTTGGATTGCTACTACTATGTACTACTACTCAAAGCCTCAAACCAAATACAAGCGGGTTGGTCTGAAAATTTATACTTTTTCTCTCAATTAGATCAACTGGTGTTAAGCATCATACTACATGATGTGTTTAAGACGTAGTCTTATACAAAATGGCACAATACCATTCCGACCACGACAATAAAGATACCAAGGATTCCACCAGCTGAAATAGTCATGAAGGAGAACACATCCATATACTAACACAAGGCATGTTTCAGATCCGATGTCCTAATACTTAGTATGTCACTGGAGATGTCTTCCTAATCACAAGAAAAGTAGTGAAGTTCTCAGAAACTGATACTGAGAAAGCTGGAACAAAGAATGCCTGCCACCAGAATTTAAAAGCGTTAACTGGTTTTGCAATAATTATAAACATATTTAGGAAGTATTAAATGTATTGTATTCCTTAGCAGCACTTTTGGAGTGTATTTGGATGCAAACACATACGGAGTACTTATTTGATAAAAACCTATCAGCAATCAGTCCAGTAATAAGCATACTAATTGCATGATAAGGGCACGATTGGTAATGAAGTTGTGTCTCATTTGGGTGAGACTGATTAAGATACCCAAAGAGTTGGCAACAAAAAATAACAAGAGATATGTATGGTAACATTTTGACCTTGAAGTGACTTTTAATCTTAAGAGACATTTGAGAGTGTGTGCGCGCACACACACATGAGTGTGTTGTGTTTACAAGTTAGCCCCTGATTTATAATTTCACATCCCTGTCTTCAAATCATGTAAGGGATCTTGGAATCTCACTCTTGATCTTTTTGATGCCTAAATCATCTATATGAAAGTTTTAGAATTGCTGCTATTTTTTTTTACAATTAGGGCCATTCTTTTGGTTGCTCAGTAACACACACATAAGGTGATTGAATACAATTTGGGCAATGCAATCGTGATAATGGAAGGTAAAGATAAAAAGAGCCCAACACCAAAGAGAAAGACACCCAAGGCAACCTCGAATAATCTTACTTCTTTCCTTTTTTTTAACATTCCAAAATAATATTCACTCTCCTTAACGGTCCGTTTGGAATGGGGAAAATGATTTCTAGAAAATGACTTCTGGAAAATGAGTTATTTTCTAATGGGAATTTGTAATATTCATTAGTTTTTGAAAAGGAAAAAGTGAAAAATGAATTGTAATCTTATAACTTCCAATGAATTGCTATTAGCAAAGTCTATTAACTAAATACAGATGACTACATGAGCATTTTATTAGATGTTATTAATCGAGACCCAACAATTAACATAAATTAGGAACAGTAGAGCAAAGCAGATGGAAAGAGATAAAGAGGAAAACTATAAGACAATACCTAAAGTGCCCCCCTTTATCCATCTCTAACAATAGAAATAGAGAACCCTATTTCTTAAAAATGAAATAAAAATAATGTTTGAATCCAAAGTAAATAACACACCAAAATGGAGAACCCTATTTCTTAATTTCCTAACAAGAAGCATAAAATTCAATTTCAAAGAACCAAATACATATAGGGAAGCCTAATGGATTGTTTTAATTTTTGAAATTTAAAAAAAATCGAATAAGCTACAAGAAAGGGAAAGAGAACCCTATAGAAATATGGCAGTATAATTCCTTAATCTTTAGTTTCGAAGAACCTGTAGAAACATTCAGATTCAAACAGCCAAAAAAAGGGAAACCTATTTCTGGAATTAAAAAATGGATCGCAATTCACAAAATTAAAATTAGGGGCAAATCATCAAGTAAATAAACACAATCTCTAGTAGAACAAAGAGCCCTGTTTTTTAAAAGCAAAACGAAATTGGCCGGTCATAGAGCGTCTCATCTCAGCGCATGAAATTACAATTAGAAAGAGTTTTCTACAGGAGCGAGTAATGTATTTACCTCGACGTCGGAAGAACAGAATGCAGAAGAGTGCGAGAGAGTGATGCATTTGTCGAAAGACACAGAGTGGAGGAGAAGATTGGAGAACGAAGAAGGCAGTGAAGAATAGATAAGGAAGAAGGCGGTGAGCAACAGTACATTACACTACACAGTAGATAAGCACCGTTTGGAGAACAAACGGAAAAAGACGGACTGAACGCACGGAAAAAAGGACCAACTTCATGGAGGGAAACTTGGTTGGGCCTTATAATATAAGGGGGGAAGTGGGACGATTAAATTTGCACAAGGGAGTAAATATTAGGCGAAAAATGTGGCAACATATAAAACATGGAGTACATTTACCCTCCTTTCGCCTATTAGTTGAAATATGTTCAGCAAGTTATGTATCTCCTAAAAAATATTGCTACCCGAATTNCCCCCCCCGATGTTCTCCTTCACCCTTTGGCTTGGCAGAGTGTAGCCTTTGTTGCGGTGAGGGGAAGCAACAGTATGGGTTTATGGTCAGGAAGAAGGTGTCCTAATTGGCCTTTGTGTGCACGGTTCACTATATTTGGAAGACTCACAATGAGGTTTATTTTTATCACAAGTCTATTGATGTCAACTGTATTATTTGTAATCTACAGAATCATGTACGGAGTATCAGATTTTACACTTGGGTTACTAAAATTAATCATTTACAGGTTACCCATAAAACAGAATTGTCCCTAACAAATTTTACTTGATGAAAACGCTCTTGATATTATTTGTGGGTTCAAAAACACGGAGTAATCATTCTAAAGAGATGTGTGATACAGAGTGTTTTTTTTTCGACCTCTTGAATTGTTGACGCAAACTCATAGGACCAAGTCTCAAATGAATAGAACACGAGACTTTTTTTCGTCAAACAAATGCCCAATAAAATCCCACAAATGAGGTGTGGAGAAGGTGAGAGTACCTAGAATAACAAAGGCACTTCTTTGGGCAGAAAGCTAGAAAAATGTAGAATTCGATTGAGAAGAAAAAAGTTGGATCTTTCATTAAACCAAACATAAATGAACAAGAAGTCTGAGGACAAACATTCATAGACTTGTTTGGGTGCACAATGTCATTAGGAAATGGGGACACCAACTTGGTTCTTCGACTTCTCAGTGTTGTTGTTTTCCAATTCCTTCCTGAGATGCATGGAGAAGTCATCAGTGACGTCATCATCATCCCAATCATCTTCCCACTGGTTTTGCTGTGGTACAACTTTTTCCTCGTCTTTCATCCCATCTTCACCTGTTATTTTCATGTTTATGCAGTAAAACCCATTAAGATGAACAAGTATAATATAAAACAGTACAGCATAGGAAAATCGATGGTGTCTATCAAAAGGCATAACAAAGCTAACCATCTGTGGAGCAAAAAAAGCAAAACATATTCACAAAATGTAGGCTTCAATTACGTAAAGCATATTCAATATGTAGGCCATTTTTGGCCCCTCATACTCTAATTAATTCTTAGTCTCTCATATTACCTATTATTTTATATAAATCAAAAGAAGATCACTACCAAATTGAAGACAGCTCCCTGAGATTCTTCAAAGTGGATTTCATTAAGAGGCATTGTTTATGTGGAAGGTGGGATCTCACGGGCATTGTTTATGAGCTCATCCGATTGCATGCATTAACATAAAGGGAGCAATCTAGATGACCATGTTAACCACTTCAATGACTGCATACAGTGTAAAGACATACCTTGGGAGTTATAAACCAAGTATTATGTCAATTACTATATCAGAGATGTGAAAGAAAACTGGTTTCAATTCCACCACTTCATCCTAAATACTAGAAGGTTTTGACCAGGTAAAGCTTAAAAACTTTGGAAGAGGAATACTAAAGACAAAGAACAAATCACCATATTTTAACTAACAGCTAAGGAAAACAATTTCTGTGCAGACTCAAAATGGAATTACTTGCATTGATTAAAAATAAACCGCAAGTACTACAAGCATTTGACATTACTGACACGCTGAAAGTTTAACACGCATGGCATACAATCAAGTTCAAATACTAGGATGACCACTTTAGAATTTTAATAATTATTACGGAAATTAGTTCGGAAAAATGATTCTAAAGCCACGGGTAAGACAAAAGTAAAACGAATAAATTTCACTTCTCATAAATATAAAACTGGATTAGCAGAGCATCACAAGCAGGATAAAAGGATGAAATTATTTACTTTCATCGAGGTTAAACTCTTCAAACTCGTCATCATCTTCAAAGAGATCAATCTTTAGGGTGTCACTGATGTCATTGGTCTTCTTTGGTTGCTCGGTATTCATTGTACTGTCAATCCCTAAACTCACTGCTCTGTCGCACAAACAATCAGCAGTCAAAACCCACAATGGAAATCTATCTAAATACAATTACGTAGTTTGCTTTGCCAATTTTCAGAATAAACAGCAACAGAGATAAAAACAGACTTCTCGACAAAGGAAAGCACCCATTCCAACAGTCAAATTTTGATAATTTGCCATAGTATGTAGCACACATTATAGCAAACTTAAAACTGAAAGAATATCCAAAAGTTTCACTTTAGATTAATTGACTTAAAAAATTTAACTTTTCACACAAGCTATCTATCATCTCGGCATAAAATATACCGAGGTCCGAGTACTTTAACCAAAGCATTACAAAGCAAAAAATTGTGAGTGTAATAGATGATACGCTTTAAGCACTTGAATTAAGTTATCATTTTGACTTTTGTGGTAAAAAAAATCAAAATTAGCTATTTTTGACCATGATCTGTTAAAAGAATACACTGAGTAACAATAAGAAATAAATTTCATTAATTCACTCAGAAAGGTATTTTTAGAATATCATTTATTTATACAGAGTAATATTTATTTATCTAAAACTATAAATATCAACAGTAAACGAGTTGCAAAAGTTAATTGATACCTTAATTTGAGGACGGAGATACATCAAATACGAAATACACGTATGACATTACAACGAAGGTGTGATCCTAATATTTTAATAAAACTGGAAAAAAAACACTAGTTTCAAAAATAGTAAAATGTATGCGGAGTATCACGGAGCAAATACTTATATGAAACATGAATATAAGATCTCTAGAGTTGAGTTTCATAATCAATTTCGAAAAATCTAAGGCCAATTGAAGATCTGTAGAATGGTGTTTCGGATTTGAATTGTGACCCTAGATCTAAGAAATCTGATGAATGTGTATTTCATATCTGGAGAATTGAAACAAAGCATAATTTTTGTTCGAGAGAATTATGTAAGTTTGGAAGCTGAAGCAATGGCTGAAGATGAGCGCAGAAATTGAAATACCTGGCTTGGCTTGGCTTGGCTTGGCTTTGGGAGAACGATGAATTGTCCAATACAGCAGGAAGCAATGGGATGCGTGTTTCCTTCTCCTTAGCACTTAGCAGTTGTCATAGAAGAATGAATTATAGGTGGGCTTTTAGGGCCAAGTCATGATTCATGAGTGGGAAGTTTGGCCCTTATCAAAGCGGCCCACTTATCCAGTTTTAATTTTTCACAATTCAAATTAGGCCTCGTTTGGTACACGTAATTCAAACTATGAAATTGGAATTGAGGACTTCAATTCCAATTCTGGTATTTGGTAGCACAAAAATTATGTTGATTTGGAATTGATAGTGCAAAAAATGAATTGGAATTGGTGAATTCAATTCTATGGAATTGAATCATGGAATTTCAATTCTAATTCCATCAATTCCGTATACCAAACGAACCCTTAGTAAAATTTGATCATTTAATAAATAAAATTGATATTCTATGTATATAAATTATTATTAGATTTATCTTAGGGAGTATAAAATATTTTTCAAAATTTAGGTAAAATATGTTTTTTGAACTCTGCAAAAGAGGCGACTTTTATTTTTTGTCAATGTAATTTTTTATATTTAAGTCACTCTTTAAAAAAGTTATTTTGAAAATCGTCTTTAAATATAACTAACAAATTGAATCATTTGAGATAGTACATTTACTTTGTATTCAATATCATAGCCTTCGTTTCTAATAATTACTTTCAACACGATTTTCATCTCCAAATTTGTGTCTGTCATACTAAATCTCATATTCGCAAATTTCTTGGAAATATAGTCTCTTCATTAATGTCTGAGATAAATAGAAATGTGAGATTATGAAGTTTACTACAAAATAAAGGTGTTATTTCAACTAATTAGCAGTGTTAATTACGTCTAAAGACCATTTTAAAGAATTAAGAATTTGTAAGGATAACTTAAATAAAAAAGTTATAGCGACAAAAAAATCATCTACTTTAAAGAGACCAAAAATATATTAGCCCTTCAAAATATTATTTTATATAATTATTATACTATATAATTTGTATTTTTATTATCACCCAAAGATTGACCCTAGTTGATTCTAAAAATTCAAAACTGAACAAAAACTCTAGAACAGAGATAGTATGGCCAAATAGCACGAGTACCTCATTTGTTTAGAAAATAGGCATCAATATCCCCCCTATTTTCTAAATTTATTTCTAAAGTCTTCGTGCTTTCAAAACGTTGCACTCATACCCCCTCTGATAATTTTCCAACCATTTTTCAACGAAGAAGGGGCATTGGTGTCTATTTTACAAACCATAGCGAGAACTGGTGAACATTTCTTATTTTTCGTTTATTTTTTGTTTTTCTCCATTTTTCCCTTTATTTTTTCTTTTATTAATCAAGTTTTTTGTAAATTTCTTTTATAATGTTCTTAAAAATTAATTTTTTTTTTCAAAAAAAATTAACATACGAGTATATTGCATCTGTACATCTCAAATAAGCAATTTATATTTTTTGTTTTCTGAAATAAAAAAGTAAAAACTTTTTTTGACAAATTTAAAAATGAGGAATAAAATAAGAAATGAATAAACAAAAAATGAATATCTTTTTTGGACATCCCAATTTAAATACTTTTTAGGCGTTCTCAAAATTTCTTTTTATATAAGACCTTTTTTGCATGTTTCAATTTTTTTTCATTTTGTTTTTCTATATTTTTATTTTTTATTCTGAATTTTATTTTTGAACTTAAAAAATATATTCTAGAAAGCAAAGAGCGAAAATGTTTCATTTAAGATAGATAGAGTAATTTTATTTATATTTATTTTTATTTCAAACAAAATAATTTTGAATTTGTAAAACATTATAAAAATTGAAAAGAAATTTAAAAAGATTTTCTAGGAAAAGGAAACAAATAGATAAAAAAGAGTTAAGTAAAAATGTAAAAACAAAGATAAGAAATAAAGGAGAAAGAAGTGGAAGACCTATAGGTGGTGGTCTTGTTAGGCCAACCGCCTTTCTCATCAGAATCCATAGCCAAAGTACCTAGGCACGACGCCGAGTTTTTCGTCCTCTATAAACCGAGTTCAGAAAGCCGTTACCTTAGATTATAAAAAAATATGAAATTTATAAAGCAGAAGTTGAAATTGAGGAATGCTAGGGGCACACCAAATGGCGTGTTAGCCTATGTAGATGATTTGTATAATATTCATTGTTGGTCTCCTCGTCACCGTCTCCTCGTTTATATCACCCGTGAATGTTTATATTCTCTTGTATCAATGAAACACCCTTTACATCAAATTATTTTACATGGTATCACATGGTCCCTGTCTCTGTTTCGATTGGCTTTGTTCGTCCGTCTCTCTAAACCTAGTTTTGTCCGTCCTTGTTCCGATCGGCAGTCCCTGTCTCTGTTTCGATTGGCTTTGTTTGTCCGTCTCTCAAGTGATCGTCTGCCTCTGCTTTGTTTTTCCAATTTCTGAAGGTAGCCGGAAGTTCTCTGCTTTGTTTTGCCAATTTCTGAAGTTCGTCGGTCTCTGAAGTTCGCTAGTCAAAGCCGATCGCGAGATTCAATTCATCGTCAGAGGTCCGTCACTCCAGCGCTCGTCCGATAAGTCGCACGCTTCATTCTCCGGTGATCTGACTGTCCTATCCCTGAAGCTCGTCCGGCGAAGCTTGTCCAATAGTTGGGAAGTTTTATTTTTGTGCGTCCGTCCGGCGAAGCTCATCCTATTGCGTCCGTCCTTTTCCACTGTGTTTGTGGATATTTTTGGCGAATAAGGTTGAAATTTGTGAAGCTGTGTTTTTTGTGGATATTTGTGAAGCTCTTCCACTGTTCATCAATTGTGAAGCTCTTCCAAAATGAATATAATGGTGATAAGGTGGTCTTATTAATGTCTCTTATTGATTCTTTTGCATCCAACCAAACTAATGGTATGACTTCTAGCCGCCTTTGTGAGTGGCTAATTGATAGTGGAGCCTCGCATCATATGACAGGAATTTTATCACATTTATTTGATCTCGTGGATGTTTCTCCTCATTCCATTTGTCTTCCCGATGGGTCTCGTATTCAGGCTATTAAAAAGGGAAATGTGCAACTTTCTCCTAGTTTGGTCCTTCATAATGTTTATATGTACCAAACTTACACTGTCATTTGATATCAGTTGGGTGTCTAGTTCGTGAAACTACTTGTTGTGTAACTTTTAATGATCATTGTTGTGTAATACAGGACCGTGCGACAAAGATGGAGATTGGATATGGTGATTTGCGAAACGGTGTGTATGTCTTTGCTTCCCCTCCAGTGTCAGCTCTCGTAGCTAATATTGATCCATTTGTTCTTCATCAACGGTTAGGACACCCATCCTCAGATGTTCTACCTTTTCTTGGTTCGAATAAAACAAACTCAGTTGTCAAGAAGTTACAGACCTGTGAAATCTGTTTTTTGTCTAAACAAACTCGTTCCTCATTTTTCGTTAGTAATAATAAAGCTGCTACTGTTTTTTATTTAATTCATTGTGATTTGTGGGGGCCATTTTCTACTTGTATATCATCTAGTGCACATTACTTTCTCACTATTGTTGATGATTTCTCTCGGGCTGTTTGGGTTTACCTCATCAAAACAAAAGGTGAGGTCACATCTTGTATCAAGCGATTTGTTGCCATGATTCACACTCAATATTCCAAAACAATAAAAGTGGTACGGTCTGATAATGGTACTGAGTTTCCGAATACTTCTTTACGTCAATACTATGATTCTTTGGGTGTGTGCATTCAAACTTCTTGTGTAGGCACTCCACAACAGAATGGCCGAGTTGAACGCAAACATCGTCACATATTAAACGTTGCTCGGTCCCTTATGTTTCAAGCTTCTCTTCCCATTGAATTTTGGGGAGAATGTGTCAAAACTGCTATGTATCTTATCAACCGTACGCCAACAAAGTTACTTGGGGGTAAGTCTCCGCTTGAAATCTTGTCGTCTAAACCTCAAAGCTTGGATCATCTTCGTGTCTTTGGTTGTTTATGCTTTGTTCGTCAAATGCCTAAACCCACAAATAAATTTTATCCCCGAAGTGTGAAATGTATGTTTGTCGGCTATCCTTATGGTACTAAAGGCTAGCGAGTATACAATCTTGAGACCCACCAATTTTTTCACACTCGTGATGTGTCCTTTGATGAAACATAATTTCCCTTCGCCATTCCCCCGATGTCTACCTCTCCTCAACCCATTTTAAATCCTTCTTCAGAAGACTTTCCAGTGCTTCCGTCATCCGGGTCCACAATACCATCATCCCCACAACAAACAGTTGTATCTAGTCCTTCCCCAGTCTCGAGTCCTACCTCATCACCACCTCCATCTCCCTCGTCCTCCGTCTCCCTAGATGACAACAGCAGCAACGCCCCTTCGGCACAAGCCACTTCTCCGCCACTCACTATCCAGTCTTTGCCTCCTCGTAACCGCCGTCTTCCGTCTCATCTCAATGATTATGTTCTTCATTCTGCAAAGACAGTCACTCCGCCTTCCTCATCATCTAGTTCATCTTCGTCTGGTACTCGGTTTCCAATTACTAACTTTGTTCATTATAATAAGCTACATGACAGGTTCAAAGGGTTTCTTGGTGCTATTGATGCTTCTCCAGTGCCTCGTACTTTTCGTGAGGCCATTCAGTATGCTTCTTGGCGTGATGTCATGGCTCAGGAGTTCAACGCCTTGGAGCGTAATCATACTTGGGACATTACAGATCTTCCTCCGAATCGGAGGGCTCTAGGGTGTGAGTGGGTGTACAGGACAAAATATAAATCTGATGGTACCAAGGAACGAGACAAAGCTCGGTTAGTTGTGTTGGGTAATCATCAAGAGTTCGGTGTTGATTTTACTGATACTTTTGCCCTAGTAGCCAAATTAGCCACTGTTCGTGTTCTGTTGTTTGTTGCCGTTGCTAGGGCAGGGCAAGTTGATCAATTGGATGTTAATAATGCCTTCTTGCATGGGGAACTTACCGATGAAATTTATATGAAGATTCCTCCAGGTTATACCCGTCTTTACCCAGGGAAAGTATGCCGACTTTGTAAGTCCCTCTATGGCCTTTGGTAATCCCCCCGCAATTGGTTTACTAAGCTTCGTTTGACGTTACGGTGTTATGGCTTTCGTCAAGCCCATGCTGATCATACTCTTTTTGTTTATCGTAGTGGTCTTGATATGCTGGTTGTTCTTGTTTATGTTGATGACATTCTTGTTGCACGAAATAATTCTTCCCTATGTACTGCTTTCAAGAAATATTTGGATGGACGTTTTAATCTGAAGGATCTTGGTCCTGTCTCTTACTTCCTTGGTATTGAGTGTGCCCGTTCCCAGGAAGGGATGGTGTTAAATCAGCGGAAGTATGCTCTCGATATTCTTCAAGAGGCTAATTTATCTGGTTGTAAGCCTGTTGATACCCCTCTGCCTAGCAACCACAACTTGTCTCGTTCTACAAGTGCCGAGCTACGTGACTCTACCAAATATCGACGTCTTGTGGGACGACTACTATATCTGACTATCACTCGTCCTGATATCTGTTATGCAGTACATGTCTTGTCACAGTTTATGCAGGCACCTCGTTTAGATCACTGAAATGCTGCCCTGCGTGTACTCCTCTATCTAAAGGGTCACCCCGGTCAGGGAATTTTGTTACGTCGCGATGGTGATCTTACTCTTACTGCTTTCTCAGATTCTGATTGGGCAAGTTGTCCGTTGACACGACGATCTGTGACTGGATATTTCATCATGCTTGGCGGCTCTCCAATCTCTTGGCGTACTAAAAAGCAAACTTCAGTTTCCCGGTCTTCGGTCGAAGCTGAATATAGAGCAATGTCAAATGCATGTACGGAGATTCGCTAGCTACGTGGGCTTCTGGCTGCTTTGGATGTATCGTGTTATGCAACTCCGAAACTATATTGTGATAACAAATTTGCCTTGTTCATTGCTGCTAATCCAGTCTTTCATGAATGGTCAAAACACATTGATATTGATTGTTACATCGTGCATGAATGTGTTCAGCGTAATCACGTTGTCACAGCTTATGTGCCTACACATCTTCAGACAGCTGATATCTTCACAAAAGCTTTACCGGGTCCTCTGTTTCAGTCTCTCTTATCCAAGTTGGGCATTTTTTATATTCATGTTCCAACTTGAGGGTGAGTGTTAGCCTATGTAGATGATTTGTATAATATTCATTGTTGGTCTCCTCGTTTGTATCACCGGTGAATGTTTATATTCTCTTGTATCAATGAAACACCACCAAGGGTTTTACATCAAATTATTTTACATGGCGTATCCCATTTGTACACTATGCTTCTTCACTCTCCATTTCTTTTTCTATTTTTAATTTTTTTTTTCTTTTGCTTTTGTATGGTGGGGATGAAGTGCGGTACAAATGGGATACACCGTTTGGTATACCCCTAACATTTTTGGGTTGAAATTATAGTCGAAAGAATGAGATCAAAGCTAGCGTAAATCTCGATAGAGGAGGGGACACTTTTTTTGTAGAAGTTTACGGAATACGCTGGCGGAGAAGCGTACATGATAGGTTGGCTAGATTTTTTTTCTTTTTACTCCGCATATAGTTCACTAACAGGGACACTTTCTAGACCGTTGTAGCTGCACTAATAGGCTTCTATAGCTGTACTAATAGGCTTCATAGCCCACATTTTAAAGTCAGCCCATTAAGCAATGATCCGACCCAAAAATTTGGGCGGGAATACTATTCATTTATACCTCTCACCATTGTATAGATAGAGATAGAGATAGAGATAGAGATGTATTTGGTAAGTTCAAAAAGAAAATAAAAAAATAAAAATAAAATATGGAAAAACAAAATGAAAAAAATTCAAACATCTAAAAAAGAGTCTAATAAAAAAGGAATTTTTAGAATGCCTAAAAAGTCCTTAAAATTGGGATGTCCAACAAGGATATTCATTATTTTTGTTTTATTTTATTTTTATCTATTCCTCATTTTTTGAAGTTCTCAAAAAAATTAATGTTTTATTTTAGAAAACAAAAAATAAAAATTGTTAATTTGAGACGTATAGATACAGCATATGTTTTTGGTTTCAAACAAAAATAATTTAAAATTTTAAGAACATTATAAAAACAATTTTAAAAAGAAATGTAAAAAAAACTTTGAATAATAAAAGAAACAAAAAAGAGAAAAAACAAAAAATAAATGAAAAATAAGAAATGAGCACCAATGCCCCCTATGGTTTGGAGAATAAGCACCAACGCTCCCTTCTCCGGCCGAAAAATTGTCGGAAAATGACCAGAGAGATCGAGTATGAATGCAACGTTTTGAAACTACATTGACTTTAAAATTAAATTTTAAGCATAAATTTTCTGCTAGCTTTCTCCCTATTATTTGGTCACTTCAAAAATTTTCTGCTAGCTTTCTCCCTATTATTTGGTCACTTCAAAAATTTTCTGCTTTCTCCATCGCTAAGCAAAGTGCAGCAGGCACCGACTATATGGCAGCAGCTTCCTGCCGCATGCAAATAATGCTTTGTTTAAAGCCTTTTCAAAAGCAAGACGACCATGCTCTCATCCAGCTGGCTCTCACCATCCATTTCAAACAACTTACCAGTGAGTCGGCGGCTCTATAATACTACTTCCTCTATACTCCGTACTCCACTTACCTTTCCCCGGCCCACTATAAAAGATTGCATGAAAAAAAAATTCTGTAAAAAGCCCCCACCACACGCACTAATAAAAAGATCGCCAGAAAAAAAAAAGAAAAAAAAAGAAATTCTTCGCCTTCTATATATATATATATATATATATATATATATATATATATATATATATATATATATATATATATATATATATATATATATATATATAAACAGTTTCATTGTGATTCCATAATCGTTCGGTCCTATTAACTTCAACCAGTCCCGTTTCCAGACCGTAATTATCGAACGAATTTGAAAGCAGGCAAAAAATTTAAAGAGAGATCGAAACATGAAGAACGGTAAGGTAGGGGCGATCGTTAAGCGACTGGTGTCAGTGCTGAGCGCTGTGGCGAAGAAGTCCAAATCAGTCGCCATTGGAGACAAAATCGGATCGATCAGAGCTCGAATCGAGCTTTTCTCGCTGATGAAGACTCGAAAGCTGTGCCTGCAAGGCCGGCTCGGCGCGGGAGCCATCTCTCACCGGATCCACGCCTTCCTGGGGCAGAGTCACGACGGCGGCGGCGGCGAAGGTGGATTTGAGGAAGAAGATTCCGGCGGCAAGGCCGTAATCGCCGTCAATCACTGTGCCGGAGAGGAGATTCGCGAGCAGGATCAATTGCTGATCGAATACAATCAGCGAGAGGACGAGGATGGGGACGCCGATCACTGCGCCGCCTCTCCCTCCGCCGGCGAGGATCAACTGCTGCTGGAATACAATCGCCAAGAGGACGAGGACGAGGACGGTAAATATCCAGATCTGAGACATTCTCTGTTCGAGGAGGGAGACGACGACGATGATGAGCAGTTGGGAGATCCGAACGGATCGGCGATAGAAATGGTGAAGAGTTCCAAGGAGGAGGGCGGAGAGAAGTTCAACCTGGAAGACGAGATCGACGACGTCGCCGACTTGTTCATCAAGAAATTCTACAAACGGATGCGCCTGCAGAGGCTCGATTCTCTCAAGAGGTTCCAGGAGATGCTTCTTAGAGGCACTTGATTAACATAACAAATTTTCGGAGTATCCCTTTCATTAATTTTGAGTGCACATTTAATCTATTCATTTTTCCTTTTTTTTAATTCCAGATTTGTTCTTATTTCTTACTCCGTATTTAGACTAGTATCTGCCGTGCACGTGCCATATTTATGTAACTAAATTCAAATCAATTTTGAATAATAGAAAATAATATGGAGTATTTAGTACTCCTTCTATCCACCATAGATCTTCCCAGATAATATTCACAAGATCAAGCTTAATTTACTTTGTTTGTTTATTTTTACTACTCATTTCATAAAATAATATAGTGTTGTTACATCTAGTTTTGTAGAACTTTTCATGTAGTTTATTGCTACATAAATTTTATATTAACATTTTACCCTATATTCAAATAAATTGAATTCGAAATAAAGTCGGTCAAGCCTCGTAACGCGCTATGGGAAGATCTTAGATGGACGAAGGGAGTAGAATATAGAGATTTTATTGTTTTAAGGTACAAAATTTTTTTGCTCTACAAATTTTGAAAGATTTCTTTATAAAATACATTATTTGTACAATTTGTAAGAACATTATCTTCGTTGCATATCAGAATCTTTAAGCCACTATGTTTAGTTACTCTTGAAATTGCAACATATAATTGTCCATAAGTAAATACTGGTTTCCATAACAATAATATGTAAAAAAATGTACTTTCTCCGTTCATAAATAAAGTTTTCGTTGCGCGTTACGATGTATGACTAATGTCATTTTCAAATCATGTTATATGAAAAATAGTATGAAATTAAAAAATAAAAATTACATATTTAAAAGCTACGTGAAAAGATGTATAAAACGAGAGGTGATAAGACTTTATTATTCTATCAAATAGAACACGAAAATAAACCAACAAACTGAATAAACTTTGATCCCCTAAATCGTGAACGAGAACTTTATTGTTGGACGGAGCAAATAATATAAATATGTGTAAGTAATTTAATTTATAATAATCCAAATGATGCTTAACAATTAAAAGCACATTGTCACCAAAAATCATTTTCTGAATTTCTTCAAATTAAATCTCATAAACTTGTAACGAAAATTGTGAAATTTGTTTTTTTAAAATCTTTTGAAGTTTTGTCCTACTAAAGAATTCTAGCATGAAAGGGTGAATGGTAGTTTTCGTTGTTTGATAATAGTGTAGTACTTTGATTATCATCAGTAAATAAACATTATTTTCTTTCAAATCATCTTTGAAAGTGCGTATATTCAAATCTCTGATCTGCGCATGTATTCGATCTACATAACAATGTATAGGAAAAAGGTGTATATAACAATCATTTCAACGTTCTTAATGAATACGTATTTTAGATTCATATTAATGAAAGAACTAACTTGAGTCGTGAAAAATAACATCCAATAATTCGGACTGCCTAACATGGGCAAAAACATGATAAATTCTTATTGTTCACAATTTTAGCATCAAAAGTGATGACCTCTCATCAATATTTCTTACAGGGTTAAGATCCTCATGTTTTGTTCGAATGACACATTTAAAAACACACTTCAAAGAAGCTAATTGTAGAAGTGATTACGAACGATCGTATTTATACTATGACTTTTTTTGCTTATTCTATTTTCCTTTTTTCAAATTTTTATTTTTGTTAAATACAATAAATTTTTTTGGCAAAATCACATCCATTTTACACACCATTTCAACATTCATGTTTCCACCTAACTCTTTTTATTATTAACGTGTATTTTTTCCAATAAAAACCGTGTATAATGAAATTACCTTATTTAAAATGCCTATAAACTATAAATGGAAACACAATTAAGATAAAATCGTATTTCTTTCACACTGTGATTATAATTTCCATACTTTCAAATTTCATTGTACGTGCCATCACCTAGCATTGTGTCCATCAACCACACTCCTGAAATCAAACCGGGCCAATCTGAGAAGTTTCCTTCAGATCGTCTCCTGTAATGCCCATGTGGGAGTACGGCCATGCAAAAATATGATCGGTCACTTTCGGAGGAAGACGTATCGGTCACTTTCCCCAACAATGCGCACTACCTCAAACATAATTTGATTTGTTGACTAGTTATTGTTGACCTATCCCTTTTCCACGACTTCGAGGCGGGTATTATAGTACTTCCTCCGTCCCAATTTATAAAGCCCGTTTACTATTCATAGGGTCAAAATTCATTTACTTTCTTTCTATATTTTCATTAACAATTTGATAAAATAGAATACTATTGTCACTACTAATTTTGTAGATCTTTTGATATAGTATTTTAACATGTAATTTTTATTTTTTAATTCTATACCATTTGTCATATAAAATGATTTGAAAATAATTTTAGCCGAACATTGTAAATCAAAACATGCACTATAAATTGGGACGGAGGGAGGATAAAAATGTATTTAAATTCGAATATATGTATATACTCATATTCCATGTTTCAACAACAATATAATCAAGCAAAGTAATATAGTATAAAATGTATTTAAATTATTAAGAATTCAACAAATTAACGTAACACCAAAATCTAAATCATATGATTTTTAATAGTTATATTTTATAAAATTAAATTTGTGTGAGGTGAAACTGTATTAATGTTTTTAGATATAGTATAATAAGTATTGTAAGTTAATTATTCAAAATCTATGTTAGTCTATTATATAAATTACGCAGTATGATTATTAAAATATTCGTTTAGGATTCGTTAAGTATTCAAATATTAATCAAATACAAACTCAAATCTTATTTTTAATTCGTCTCATATTCGGATTCGAAATCGTATTCAGAAAAATTAAACAAATACAAATTCAAATATCTCGATTTTCGCTTCGATTCGGTTCGTTTACACCCCTACCCCCATGGTTGCATCCATGTAATTTTGCGTATCCATACCGTAGTCTGCATCTTGTGCTTGACACCTTGTCTAGAGCCAATCTCGGTTGCAAGCAAGTGTCTCAAACAATTCAGCGCTAAAGGAACTCCGATGATCAGTTAAAATGTTGCCATTATAACTGAACTCTTGTTCTACAGAACCGTTGCCCTCTTCCCCGAAACCGGTACCCTATTCACGGATTCCAGTGTCGTTTCCATTACCTCGCCCCCCGCCGACATATTTGGACCAACCGACCAGGTGTTGGAACCGCCGGTTCCGATACCGGTTCGAAACTGAACCCGTGTCCAATCCATACTATGGACTATTCAAACTGCGTATTTCTCGACAACAATGTGCTAGTAGTGCAATAAACTATTGATATGAGAAAATAGTAGTCCGAAGAGAAATACACTTACACTATGTTCGGTTCAAAGATTTTGAAAGAAAAAGAAAAGAATATAATTTTCTCTCATTTTCTTACCAAAATAGAAGGAATTTGGTTTTCTAACTACTTGATACATTTTGCCTTCTCACTTTCTTTTCCTTTCATTTTTCCTTCTTTTCCTATCTAGCCAAACAAGAAAAACTGTTTTCCACTCCATTTTTTTCTTTTCCTTTTTCAAAATGTTGGAACCAAACATAGTGAGAAAGAAACCAAAGCTAATAGAAATTCAAAAAAAAGTTGTAGCTTATTCTTCCAGCCAAACAAAAACACTTGATTATAAGTTGGAAAATGCTATGTGAACCCCGGTTTTGTACACCAGGGGTACACCATATAAAAGGCCAATCCCCCACCCCTTATCCCTCTCACCCACGTAGTCTCTCTCCCTCTCTCTTCCCGATCAGCCTTCTTCTTCGCCGGTCAACAATTCTACTCCCCTTCGCCGCCTCACTCCGGTACCCAAAAGCTCCAGCCTTCATCGTCTTTCTCATCCTAGCATCTTCATCTTCCTTTTTCCCTCTGCGACGTCACCCTCCACTCCAAATCACCTCTGAGGACATTCACCTGCAACTTCACACTTCCGCTCGGGTAAATCAAATTTATATGGTTTTTGATATAAATCAAATTTTATTTTGTTTATTGTTAGATCTGATTTTGTTCATTGTTGGTGGAAATTTTGACTTTCCAATCCCATTTAGACAAAAATCAAATTTGATTTTTTTCACAGATATGATTTTATTGATGCACTTTCCCAATTTCAGTTTTGTGTTGCAGCTTTAGGTAGTTATTTCATCTATGTATGTTGAATGGTTTGTGACAAGAGGTCTAGATTTTTTATCTACACTCTCACAGACACACTATGTTTGTAAAGAAAATATTACAGACACTTAATGTCTATAACACATTTGACTGACACTAGTATGACCTAACAAATTTAGAATCCCTCCCAAAATTTCACCAGTATCCCTCAAGAAGTATCCTTCAAGCTTACTCATCTCATTCTGAATTGGTGCAATAATTGAATATGCTCATTTGATTCCTATAGCTTTTAAAACGTGTTCCAAACAAAGTGACATTTCTTAATTGTTTGTTTGTTAAGTTTCAGAGTTGGACTTATATTCCTTTGTGGTTGCTTTTGATGTAGAAGATTGGAAGTTGGAAGATTGGAGGTAGTTGTATTTGGATATTTACTATGTTAAGAACCTCATTTGGATTTCATTGAGGTTACCCAGACATTATGTGTCTTTGGTAAACAAGTACAGATATTTAGTGTATGTGAATTACTTACTCATAGATGAACATAGATGAACATTGTTGATGACATTTATTTTTTCTAATAGATTGAGAAGAAGTGAAGAAGTCAAGAAGTCAAGAAGGAGCGATGACATTGATGACATTTATTTTTTCTAGACTTATGTTCTTGATTTAGCCAAGAAGTGAAGAAGTCGCCCTTTTCAACGGACCATGGCATCTTCCTCTTCGACTTCCAACTACCGTGTTAAGAAGGAGCCAAGGAGACAATATGAATCAATTTCTTCCAACTTGAAGATGGCGAGACCTGAATTAGATCTACGTTATGGTACGGTAAAGTGTGATTGTTTGCCTCAATCAAGAAATTGTGTAATTCGAGTTGTGACTGACCATGAGAAGCCAAACAAAGGTAGGCTTTTTTATACTTGTGATCACTGTGGGTTTTTTCTTTGGTGCCATCCACTGAAGGCTGAATTTCGAGGTGAGCCACTGCCAATTGATAGCTCTGTAATGGGTCGATTTGTTCGAAACTACAGAGAATTTGAGGAGGAGAGTTATTTACATGAGAATGCACGTGGAGCTCAAAACGAAGTGAATGCAGCTCTGCCCCGTGAGAATCATTGCAATAGGGGTGTGAATCTATATCAAACCATAAAGGTCCTTTGCAAGTTGTTGGGTCTTGTTGTTGTTTTGGTTGCTCTTTTGAAGTAGGTTGATGTATTTAGTAGTGTTCTTGGGGCTGTGTAGTATTTTGAGTTGTTGATGTTCAAGTACTTATGTACCAATGTTGTATGACTTGTGTTGAGTGGATTGGTGAAATTTGTGTAATGGAAGATCATTATTTTGTCATTGTTTTTTTATGGCTTGTATATTCAGTTTTATGGCTTGTCCTTGTATACCAATTTTTTTGTTTCTGCCTTTATGCAAAAACTAGTCATCACAATGCAGACACTGATGAAGACAAACAAGACACTAATAAGCTGAGTATTTCGTCCAGCTAAATGAAAACCAAGAAAAACCTACACTTGCTAACTTGAAAACCTGCACAAGAAAAACATGTTACAATCAATGGCTCTTCTTCACATCACATGAACTGGTATTCTGGATTAAATGCAAGAGCCTTGAGGTAAATCAGCTCCTTCATTTGTTCCTCCGTGAGCGCGTGCTACTCAAAGTCGAAATCAGCTCCTTCATTTGTTCATCAAGACTATCACAGACACTAGTTGTCTGTAATTTCAGTGACACAGACGGTAGATGTCTATGTGATAGATAATTATACAGTGGTTTAGAAGACTAATAGTGTAAAAAAGAATCAGGCGAATTTGGTCACACAGACACTAAAAGTTTGTAATTATTCAAACACAGACATGTAATATATGTATTTAATGTATGAAAAGTGCACTTGTAAATATACCAAATAATATTTCACAATTTTTTCTTGTATTTTATATCTAATTCTGGATTACCTTATACCAAATAACATTGGTATTCACAATTTTATATTTCACAATTTTTTCTTGTATTTTATATCTAATACTATCGTAAAGAATGTTTCACAATTACTCTTGATTGTAAAAAAGAAAAAAAATTATAATTACCAATGTTTAGTTACACAAACACTAAAAATCTATAATTCTTGATACACAGACATTTATTATTTGTGTAATTTAGATGAAAATTTCACCCTTCAAATCTATGAAATAGTACAGTACCAAGAACATTTCACAAATTTTTCTACGTTTAAAAAAGAAAAGAAAAATTACAATTAATACTATTTAGTCACACAGACACTAAATGTCCTTATTTTCTTGAGAACAGACATTTACTATTTGTGTAATCTGAATAAAACAGCACCACCATCTCTACCATAATTTACTGCTCCGGTGACGCTACTAACGACAAAGAAAGTCATTAACTCATTTTGGCGGTCTGGGAGGAGCGAGCAATGACGAAAAACAGGTGGCGGTGAAGGAATCGAAGGATTGTTCGTTGCCCTGCTCCGATCCATAATGATGATGATGCCGCTCTTGGATGCTTCTGGGCAGCGATGAAGAGAGTTGAGGGAGAAGATGGGGAATTTATGAGAGAAAGAAAAATGAGAGATCTAAAGATGATAGAGAAAGGAGAGAAATGAGGGAGAAGATGGAGAAAAAGTGCGATGGAAAAAAAAGAAAAGAAAGTGGGGTTAGTGAGGGGGGGGGAGAGTATATGGTGTTCAATTGGGGTACACCAAGTGGTGTACCCCTAGCGGGACTGTTATAAGTTCTATAGAGAAGGGTATATAGACTTGCGAGGTAGCTGCATCAGGGGTAACAACAATAACAATAATAACAACAAGAGGAATCCCAGCACAAAATAGTTTAATCGTCCCGCCAGGAAAATATTGCACAGTAACTGTCTATGGTAAAACCCCCTAAGAATATCGATGCAGAAAAAGGATAACAGTAACCAGAAAATTGACAGCTAATAACACTGTAAATAGGAGCAACAATGGTGATACAAGAAAATAGTTCAGTTGTAATGTGGGAAGGAGGCACATCAAGCAGCCCTTGTTGTTCCTCCGGTGCCTGCAAAACATTCTTGTCAGCTTAATGTGAGGCAGTCACGTCCTTTCCCCATCTAAGAATACAATCATCCCATCATCTAAAACAAGTAAAATACTATAATCATAAACCCGGCATCTTAAAAGTTCATGTTTTCCGTTATGGTCTATCGCTAAATAAATACTTATTCTTCTATTTAGTAAAGTACAAGTCTTACTATATACCACCCCATTTAATATCCCTCCAACCACCATCAACTACTCTCCACACATATTACAAGGGTATTTTTTGGAGGCCAAGACAGTATATAGTTCATAAAAAGCCATGCAAGTGAAAAAAAAAATTTTAAAAAAAAAACTTTTGAGGGACGGAGGATGTAATATAGCAAAAATGGAAATATGGAATCATATTGTATTAGACAAGTCTTCACTTTTTGTTGTGTGCTTTGTATACTTGCAGTGCTTTTCCTTCGTTAACATTAGTTTTTCTTTGACTCTTTGTGCTTTCTCTCTTTTATGCGTCTTCTGTGATCTTATATTACATGTGCTGCTTGAGCAAGAGGTCTCTTGCAAACAGCTTCTCTAGTTTCAAGTAGGGGCAAGGTCTTCGTACACACACCTTCCCTGGACCATACTGACCCTACTCTAGTGGGATCCAACTGGTTTGTTGTTGTATTGTATGACATATTCGGGTAACCAATACAAAAGGTAATATATATGCAGGCCTCTTTTGATACCATAGCTTGGTGAGACAACTTAAGAATAAAGACTGATAACTATTTTGTTCAAAGTAATGCATTTGAGCATATATTTTATACTTTATTCCCATAAGCAAAACTTATTTTTATTTTCTAGAGAAAAAAGGTACTTTGTATTTGTGTTTAAATAAACTACCTATGTCCTGAGAAAAGACTTTGTACTTTGTATTTGCTCTTTTCTAATATCAAAAAGAGCAAAACAATATAGCATACACGACTCTTTTTGGAATGGATGGAGTATTACTGTGTTACCACAGAGTCACTGTGACAGCCACAGATGCTTTTGTGACAACTAAAAATGTATGGTGAGTGGTGTGCAAACTGGGGTACAAAATGGTGTACCCTAAGCATTTTTTACTAAAATATTCATTATATCTATCTGTCCTAGTTCATTTATTTTGATACAAGGAACATTCAGGTTTAGTTAAATGGGATAACAAATATTACAAATGTAATATCAAATTCCTTTTGTTAAGATGCCAGGTATTGAAGGGTGATACATGTGGACACCATAGTATTTCCCTATTTAGTGAACTAAAGAATACGAGAATACCTGTTTGGCTATTTCTTTTCATTTCTTGGATAACTTCTCTTTCATCCTCTCAACTGCACTTCTTAGTGTCTGCTCATCTTTGCAGAAAGTAAATCTAACAAGATTCTTTCCATCTTCAGGATTTAGATAAAAAACACTAGTTGGAATGGCTACGACTCCAACCTCTTTTATTAGATACTCACAAAATGCAACGTCATCTTTCATCCCTAAAGGCGTGTGATCCACCATCACAAAATAAGTTCCACTTGATGGATACACAGTGAAGCCTGCAGCCTTCAACCCATCCACCAATATGGCCTTCTTTGCCAAGTAATCCTTCTTAAGATCCACATAAAAAGAATCCGGTGCTCTTAGGGCAGCTGCAGAAGCGTATTGCATTGGGGTAGACGTAGCAAAAGTAAGAAACGAATGTGCTTGTCTCACTCCCCATGTCAAGTGTGGGGGAGCGATCGCCCATCCTATTTTCCAGCCTGTAAGTGAGAATGTCTTCCCCAGTGAATTCATTGTCACAGTCCTTTCATACATTCCTGGAAGAGAAGCCATTGAAATGTGTTCCATTTCAAACGCTAACTTGTCATAGACCTCATCAGTGAAAACCAGAACGTCATTCTCTATGCACAGTGAGGCGATGACATTGAGTTCTTCTTGGGTAAACATTTTCCCTGTTGGGTTATGGGGTGTGTTTATGAGGATTGCACGGGTATTTTTTGATATAACTGATTTCAACTCATCAAGGGGGACCGAGAAATCTGGAGGGCGCAGAGTAACACACTTTATCTTAGCTCCAGCCATTGACAAGGTAGCTTCATAAGAATCATAGAATGGAGCAAAGAGTATGACCTCATCCCCAGGATTTATCAAGCCTAACATTGTTGCAGCAATCGCTTCGGTGCAGCCAGAGGTGACAGTCACTTCTTTGTCTGAGTCAATATCAAGGCCAGTATCTTTCTTAAACCGTGTAGCTACAGCAGCATTGAGGTCAGGGACGCCATATCCTCGAGCATATTGGTTTTTACCAGCTCTGATGGCCTGAATAGCTGCTTCTTTTATAAACTCAGGACCGTCAAAATTGGGGAATCCTTGGCCAAGGTTTATAGCTTCGTACTTGATGGCAAGCATACTCATTTCGGTGAAAATTGTGGTTTTAAACTTCTCTAAGCGCTTTGCAACCTGGACATTGGAAACAATATATTTATCAACCACAAAAAAGGCAAAGTTTTAAATATGATTTCAGGGTGACCTACATTTTTTGAATTCATAGCATAGAAAATCATAGTCGCATAGGGAGAGTTTTCAAAAAATGATTTTCTTTTCTTCTTTTTTTTGCTTTTGAGGGATAAAAGTGTGATTATTTAAATAAAAGTAATTGTATTTTGTTTGTTTTAACAAGTACTCAGTATAATTAATGCTTAACTTATGAGTAAAAGACACAATTGTCGATAAATAGGAAAGAGAATATTGATAGCGGGGACAAAACTGTGAAGTTGTTCGAAATAAGCGACAAGCGCAATAAACAGATACTTAAGAGGCCTTGGGTTGAGCCTTGGTGACAACTTGTTTTGTGGGCAAGCTTTGTCAAAATATGAGGCCCACTTTATCAGATTGCATCACGCCTAAGCACAGCTCATGTCTACCTCTATGTATGAGAAATGGAGGTAATGGAATACAAGAAGAACCATCAATAACACTATGTTTGGTTCAAGGAATTTGAAAGGAAAAGAAAAGAAAATAGTTTTCCCTCAATTTCCTCACCATAATGGGAGGAATTTGGTTTTCCCTTCCCTTAGTACTTTTTGCCTTTTCATTTTCTATTCCTTCCACTTTTCTTTTCTTCTCCTCTAACCAAACAAGAAAACTGTTTTTCTTCTCATTTTCTTTTCCTTTCCCTATCAAATTCTTTGAACCAAACATAGGGTAAAGGAATTTAAAAGAGGGCACATTTAAGGGTTGAAATAAAAATTGTTTCATTTTGCTGAACTCATTCCAAAAAAAACAAATTCTATGTATGCATGTTGAAACAGGGAAAAGTGAATCAACCGTGAAGCATAGGGATTGGGAAGGCACCTGAAAGAGCTTGGGGTGATTTAAAGGTTTGAAAGTAGACTTAGAATCATTGTTGCTATTGCACCCCTCTTCTCCAATGTCACCGAGGCCTAACAAAGGACCTCCCACTCCTCCCATCGCTATGGACATTCAACTGGAACCAGTGTTTCAAGATATACAGATTACCACAATTACCAGATTAGCGCAATACACATACATCTCCACTTGGTTGGTTATTCTAGGTTGGTTTTTCTGTTAGGGGGAATCCCCTAAATCCCAAAAATGAAATTTTGTACAACATAAGAATCCCTCTGTCTAAAAAAAAGAGAAGAATGCAAAAATTAAAAATTGAAAAATAGAGAGCTTCGTATTAGAAATGAGCAAAAAAGAAAATTGAGAAATTTGTTAAGCTTGTTTTTATGAAAAATGGGAAATTCATTAAAACCTTAACAATGATTAAAAATGAAAATAGATTTTCACTATTTAAGGAGGGGGGGGGGGGTATAAGAAGATAGTTTAATGATTTACATTATTCATAGTACTTTTATCGTATAACACATATATCAACATAAAATGCAAATGAAGAATCTAAGAATCAAAATTTGAACTGAGAAATACTAAACCAAACAGTTAACTATTCAAACCATACAAAATCACATGATTCCTAGATATACTATAATTTTAAACAAAAATTATAGTAATGCTGGAGTATAATTTAAATAAAACATTATAGTAGACACAAATTAAAAACCTGATATCCAGTCAAAGAGATAAAACTAGTTATCCATACTAATCAAAAAATAAAAATTTCGCCAAAGACCTTGTGGTCGAGTAGCAAAACTATGGCTTTCCCAAATACGTAATAGCTTCAATCCCGATGGGGGCATTGATTCTTTATGCTTCAGTAAATTTAGAAGATATGTATGAACATATACAACTGCCATGATCTTTTGGGTTGGAAAGATTACCTTCCAACTCCTCCATTTTCTTCCAACTCCTTCTAGTTCATTCCAATTCCTTTCAGTTTCTTCTAGCAGTGACTTAAAAAAGGTATTTATATATGATGAATATACAATAACATTATATATCCAAATTCATAACATACCAGTATACCACTTCAAATACAGAGAAGGATGAATTCCTTTTTATACCCAAAATTAGTTTTTTTACGTGATCATTACTTTTTAACACTTTAATTCTTCCAACTTTTTTCAACTCCTTCCAGTTTCTTTCAACATCTAATTCTGAAATTAAAATACAAAAGAACAGGGTCTACATTGTAGCGTAAGGTCCATGTTCATTTAATGGACCTTAGAGCATTAATATCATTAAAAAATTGGACCTTTTGTAAAAAATAGAAAAAATCTACTTGTCCGCTGATGAAAAATGCGAGAACTGTTCTCTATTCAACTCCGGTTGGTCGTACCACTTCGAGTGAGATCCACACTTCCATTAAAAAATATTCTCAGTCTACCAATTGACCAAATCACCCAACTCAAAAACACAAATAATTTAAGTAGCATAACAAAAAGAACTTAACGGAGTCATTGAATGCTATTGTCAATACAGCAGAAATATCAAGCCAAACTGCCAGGATAGAGAAATAGTGAAGGAAAATTAACCCGCAGATGAGAGGAATAGATGTTACCTGAGTGAGAAAGAGTCGCGCAAGAGGGGGATGAACCTGGACGACGTTGGAGCAAAGCTAAACGGAAGGTGGGCTCCTTTATTATCCGGAGACCGGAGTCTCGTTATACCAGTTAATGGGCCGAGTAGGGAGGGAGTTGGTATATAGTACATCCGTACACAACTCTTGGTAAATCCTGCCCATTAAGTTAATTAAACACAGCCCAATGGCCTAAATAAACTCATAGCTTGTTCCCCGACTTCTAAGAGCACTGGGTATGGGCGTAACGCCCCGGGGCGTGAGGGGGCGTTTAACGCCCCGACGGCGTTAAACACCGCCCCCCGGCGGCGCTATAGGGGGCGTCATCGCCTGCCCGTCATACGTTTGACACTGCCCGGCCCTTCGTCATCCCCAACGGCTCCCCCTCCCAACGGCTATTTTAGCCGTTCCCCCCCCCCCCCAAATAAAAAAAATTCAAAATTTAAAAAAAAAACCTATAAATTCCCCTAAAAAATATCATTCTCTCACACATCTCTCTCACATATCTCTCTATATATTCTCTCTAAAATATTTATTATTTATTATAAATATTTATAAAATATAAATTAAAAATGGGTTCATCTTCTGACGATGAAAGAAGAGCTTTATTTTTTCGTTGTTTTGCGACGAATTGTATTCAATGGTGGGAAGATGGCCAAGAAGAAGCCGAATCCTCCCGACGACAGACCCGACGCCAACGTCTTAACCAGGATAGAGAGGCCGCCCACGCTTCACTTCTAAATTACTACTTTAATAATCCGTGTGTTTATACACCGGAGGATTTTAGTAATCGTTTTCGGATGAGTCGTCCTCTCTTCTTACGCATACTCGCCGATGTTGAACGCGAGGTTCCTTGGTTCAACCAACGGTTTGATGCGAGAGGTCGACGCATGTTTAGTGGCGTCCAAAAGTGCACTGCCGCGCTCCGTCAGTTGGCGTACGGGACG